CTGTTACTATTACTACTGTTGTCATTGTTATTCTCCCTGCACCCATCAGCCTGCCCGCTCCCCACTGTCCTTTCTCCCCCAAAGTCAGAGTGGGGCGTGGTCCCTCCTTGACTAATTTCCTCCCAAGGCCCCCTCAGGGCAGCAGGGGCCTCTTTATCTGCCGGTGGGGGAGAGGGTTCAGTTACACCAGGGCTCCAGCGACAGCGCCAGGCTGGGCGTCCAGCGTGAGGACAGTTGCTACAGGGCTGGCCCTTGCTCTCCTTTCGTCACCGCCTCAGGCCAGACGCCCGCAGCGATGAGCTTGAGGAAGTTCCCAGGCACATGAGGTCGGCTCACGGGACACAGACAGGGATCCTTGCCCGTCCGCGCCCCTGGTGTGATAGGGCACGGGGTGGGCTTTGAGAGCTGGAGCAGAAGCCACCACTGAGTGGGCAGGGGGGGCCGGCGTGAGGGGCCACCGCTGCCCACAAGCCCACAAACCAGTGTGCAGGCCGCACCTTGCACAGGACGCTCGCCTGGGGGGTACACGCGGTGGCTCGACCCTGGCCAGGCCCTGCTTGCCAAGTCCTGAGGAAGGGGAGCCTTCTCCCAACCCGACTGCCCAGAGCGGACGCCTTTCTCTAATTCATATAAAGCACCGCGAGAGCCAGCTGCGGCCAGGCCGCCAGGCCTTGTTTAAAGCAGACACGGCGCAGTCCCTGCCCTGGGCTGGTGTGTGATTGGTTCACGAGCAGGCAGCTGATCACCAGTCCTGCTTGGCTTCAGCGTTTCCATTTTCCAGTCTCTGCTGGGGCTTCTTTCTTTTGGCGGATTGGTGTGACAGGACGGTGGAGATGACCCAGGCCTGAGGCACACTGAGCACCTGCCCCCTCCCGGCGAGCTGCGCACCTTCCCGTGTGTGTGCTGTTTCTTTGGCCTGGACCGCCTCAGCGCCGAGTCTACCTGGCACTCTCGGGCCTCCTTGACGAAGGGGCAGGAGGAGCCTTTCTCAGGGTGTGGAGTGGTCTTCCCCTTCACCCCATCCTGGCCCGGCCGAGCGGGTTACTCAGTGGTGACTGCTCAAGGCAGTTGGGTCTGGAGGTCTGGGGGTGCCACCCTGATGAGATGGGAGGAGCAGAGGCAGGAGGGAGGCCTGAAATCTTTCTGCAGGGATGAGCACCCTTTGCAATCTGCTGTATGATAGATCCCGATTTTGCAAAGACATACTCTGGTCCCCACAAAGACTTATGTCTCAAAACTGACAGAGATAGACTCTCACAGAAAGGTTTAGAGACAGAGCAATGGGCCAGTAAGAATTTTTAGACAAACTTCATAAAATTTTTCCAGTGGAAAAATAGGAAAACACACAGAAAATGTCCCCCATGCACCCTGAACTCCGGTTAGGTTGAAAATATAAAATAAAGAGGTACAGAGTCTGTAATGCTGGCCTCCCCCTTAGCTTAGAAACTGACCCGTCTGTATTTACACTTGGTGGATCCTGGTTTCCATCTCTCTGGTTTTATCTAAGAGTGAAGAGGCAAAGGAGCATGATAATAGTAATTAATGACCGTGAGCAACAGGTATAACTTTCATAATGACGGCTCAGCCCCCAGCTGCCTGCTGTCCTGTCTCCCAAGAATACACGAGCTCAGTCCACCCTCATGACTCTGGACTCAGCCCTGGGTAAAAAATGGATTTTGCAGCTGTGCACATCTGAGACCTGAGCACAAGGCTGAGCCTCCCCCATGAGGCTGGACGAAGGAGTTCCAGAGGTCGTGGCGAAAACCCTGTGAGAAATATGACCATGTTTCTGGCCTTTTGCCACTAGATGGGCCTCTACAGAAGAGTTTATAATAAGAGGTAGAGTCTTGTTGAGAGCTCAAGAGTATAGGGTTTCTCAGTCTCAGCCCTGTTAACATTTTAGGCTAGGCAATTCTTTATTTTTTTATTTTATTTTATTTTTTGAGACAGAGTCTCACTCTGTTGCCCTGGCCAGAGTGCCGTGGCGTCAGCCTAGCTTACAGCAACCTCAAACGCCTGGGCTCAAGAGATCCTTCTGCCTCAGCCTCCCAAGTAGCTGGGCCTACAGGCATGCGCCACCATGCCCGGCTAATTTTTTCTATATATTTTTAGTTGTCTGGCTAATTTCTTTCCATTTTTAGTAGAGACGGGGTCTCGCTTTTGCTCAGGCTGGTTTTGAACTCCTGACCTTGAGCGATCCTCCCGCTTCCGCCTCCCAGAGTGCTAGGATTATAGGTGTGAGTCACCGCGCCTGGCCGAGGCTAGTCAATTCTTTACTGTGGAGAGTGTCCTGTGCATTGTAGGATGTTCTCAGTATCCCTGGCCTCTACCCACTGCCAGCAGCAAACTCCCCTCCCCCGTTATGACATGGCTGCAGACATTACAAAACGTCTGGGGGTGGGGATGGAGGCAAAATCTCCCCCAGTTAAGAAACCCTGCTCTGCAGTGGCTCACGCCTGTAATCCTAGCTCTCTGGGAGGCTGAGGCAGGCAGATTGCTCGAGGTCAGGAGTTCAAAACCAGCCTGAGCAAGAGCGAGACCCCGTCTCTACTATAAATAGAAAGAAATTAATTGGCCAACTAATATATATAGAAAAAATTAGCCGGGCATGGTGGCGCATGCCTGTAGTCCCAGCTACTCGGGAGGCTGAGGCAGAAGGATCACTCGAGCCCAGGAGTGTGAGGTTGCTGTGAGCTAGGCTGACACCATGGCACTCACTCTAGCCTGGGCAACGAAGCGAGACTTTGTCTCAGAAAAAAAAACAAAACAAAAACAACATTAAAAAAAAAAAAAAGAAATCCTGCTCTAGTGGTCAAGAGCGAAGACTCTGGAGTCGGCTTTCTTGCTTCAACTCCCAGTGTCTGAACTTGCACGAGAACTGAAGGAGTTAACAAACATAAGGAAGCGTGACCATATAATTTATCCACCAAACCAGGGCAATCTGAGAGTGAAAGGCGTTCTAATGACAATTTCATACACTGAGACTGTCCACAAACAGGGTGGCCAGTCCTTAGTCCATAAAGGGTGTTGAGCCAGACCCACAGTGTCCAATGACTAGTATGCTAAATGCTTTACATAAAGGAACTCCATTTAATCCCTCCAAGCCCTATGAGGTGGGTACCATTATCATCACCTTTCATATGAGGGACGACTGAAACATTAAGAGGCTAAAGTACCTTGCCCAAGGTCACACAGTGAGTTGGACAGCCAGGATTCTGATCCCCAAAGGCTGGTGCCCAAGTGCGCTCAGGTGCCCCAGGGAAACAGCATTACTCAACATCCGCCTGACTCCACGTGAACTATGAGCTCTAGGTAATGTACAGTGTCAACATTACACTCGTGACATCACACCTTTACGAAGCTGGGCGGTCAGGAGTTACTGTGACAAGCAGCAGGTATTACATGAAAATCAGCGTGGATCGGAAGATGAGGATAGTGTCACCCAATCTGACTCCCAGTTTTGAAAAGCTGTGCAGAGCCCAACAGGTATATTCATCCCATAAGGAAACCAATGTGGTTATTTAAGAATGAAACCACAATTTTTTTTCAATTTATATGTATTGCTTTCCAAGATGGCTACTAAGCTGTTAGGATATAAATTGTTATTAAGTCACTTGGACCCAGAAACTTAATTAATGGGGAACTGTTAGGTTCTTCTTTTGGCTGAGGGGCACAATGAAGATGACATGAAAGGGGAAAGTTTATGAGTCTTTGCACTTGTCTGCAACTCCTAAGCTCAAACGATCCTCCCGCCTCGGCCTCCCAGAGTGTTAGGATTACAGGTGTGAGCCACCGCGCCCTGCCAGAGTCTTTGCACTTGTCATTTGCCATTAGTAGAACCCCAGAGGTTAATGATGGAGAGAGCCTTCTAGTCCAGACAGCCCACAACAGAGACCCATATAACCCCAGTTATACATTCTGAGGAAATCTCTCTGTCTCCCTTTCTCTCTGTTTCTCCCCCCACCCCCACACACACAAAGAGAGAGACATATATACACCTAGCTCTCCTTTTCCTCACACAAAAACTAGTGTCCCTGACCCTAATCAGACAGTTGCCAAAACCTCATCTCTCTGAGTTCCCTTTATTTCAACTTTTTGCCCTTTTTCAACTGTGACGGGAAGCAAGTTGGTTGTTTTTCCATTTGAATGTAGTCCAGATTCAAGCTGAGCATCTCCCACCAACATCCGATCTCCTCCTCAGGTTACAAGTTGTGTTGTCAACTCACACCCGCATGACAAGATGACAGGCAGACACACACATGAACCTTCTCCCCAGATGGCACCTCAGACTGGTGCACCCAACCCTTAGCAAATACACAAAGACAATTACAAGCCAGAATGGGCAGCTGGGAGAGGCTGGTAGTATGGTGAAGGGCAGAGGGGGTGAGGAGAGGGCATGGGTGGCGGGTGGGTGGCTGGTCCCAGAAATGGTCACCCTGTCTTGGACCCAAGCACACTTTTCACTCTTTAACTGCTTCATTTCCTATAACAGAAAACTAGACAGCAGTAGTGAGGTGGAAATGTGTAGGGTGGGGGCTGGTGGCCTGACTTTTATTACTAATCAGGGACCACCTTATTCATGTCACTCTTGCTGGGCCTCAGTTCCCTCATCTCTATCTGGACTGGAATGCCTAGTGCTCTCAAACTGGGTACCTGAGGTACATTCACTGCTTGCTGTTCAGCCGTTAGCCTTGAAATATCTGTTTTCCTGGGATGTCAAGTTTATTCAAAATGTTGGTGGGGATGCACCCTTTTTTATAAGAAAGCATTTTATATCATTGTTCAGAATGCAAAATTTAGATGCATTTTAATTTTAGTAACTAATACTTGATAACACTTAATCATTACTGTGCCAAGTACTGTGCTAAACTCTATGTGAGCCTCACAATAACCTAATGGGGTATTATTATTCCCATTTTATAGACGAAAAAACTGAGGCACAAAGAGAGTAAATAATCCACTTAAAGTCCCATGTTATTAAGACTATAAAACCAGATACTCCCCGAAAGAAGAAACCGGCCTATGACAAGGTGCTTTGTGATCTACCTCCAGACCCATTGGGTTTATTAGTCTGAATGACACGGGCCAAATAATCTCCAAAGTCCAGCTCTGACATTCTTAAATCCATTTTAGCTAAATCGGTGGATAAATGGCCTCGCACACGCCGTGCCCCTGAAAGATGAAAGAGGTTGAGGAGGCCCCGCAGGGGCTCCAGGAATTCACGAGGTGGGGGTTTCGGGCCTCTCGGGTGCTTCCCCTCTGGCCAGAGGGCTCGAGCCCCGGCCTTCGCCGCCGCCTCCCCGCCCAGCCCGGTGTTTGCGGCCGGCGTTGCCGGCACTTCCTAGTTCCCGCGCGCCCGGGGCGCAGCTCCCTACGCCCGGCGCCGGCGCTCCTCGGGCGGGAGGGGGCCAGAGGGGAGATGTCGCAACCTCCTCCCTCCCTCTTTCCCCGCCTTGGCACTCAGTCACCGCCCAGATGAGCGCGCTCGCAGACCGCTGCGGGCCGCCGGGCACCGGGCATGTCCCTTGAGTGCGCGCAGGCGGCGGGCGCCGGGTCCCTGCGCAGCCTGGAGCGAGTCAACCGCACCCGCTTCTCCTTCTTCTCCGACGTCAAGGGCGACCACCGGCTGGTGCTGAGCGTAGTGGAGACGATCGTGCTGGCGCTCATCTTTACGGTGTCGCTGCTGGGCAACGTGTGCGCCCTGGTGCTGGTGGCGCGCCGACGGCGCCGCGGCTCCACCGCCTGCCTGGTGCTCAACCTCTTCTGCGCCGACCTGCTCTTCACCAGCGCTATCCCGCCAGTGCTGGCAGTGCGCTGGACCGAGGCCTGGCTGCTGGGCCCGGTCGCCTGCCACCTGCTCTTCTACGTGATGAGCCTCAGCGGCAGCGTCACCATCCTCACGCTGGCCGCCGTCAGCCTGGAGCGCATGGTGTGCATCGTGCGCCTGCAGCGCGGCGCCCGGGGGCCCGGGCGGCGGGCACGGGTGGTGCTGCTGGCGCTCATCTGGGGCTACTCGGCGCTCGCCGCCCTGCCCCTCTGCATCTTCTTCCGCGTGGTCCCGCAGCGGCTCCCCGGCGACGACCAGGTGAGCGCCCTGCGGAGCGCGAGGGCAGGTGTCGGGGCGGGCTGGAGGCGGGGTCCAACGGAAGCGGTGAGCTGGGATGATGATGGTGAACAACAACAATAGGCCATTTGTTGCAGTTAATAGTGAGTGGACCCCGTGCCATCGCTGTGAAGTTTACTGTTTTAAATCTCTCTACCACCCTTCGAAACGCTGTAGGTTGGAGTCCCACAAATTCTTGCAAAATGCACTGACTATTGCGAGGTTATTTAAATAACCCGGGGTTTAGGAGCCAGACAGAACTTCAGGGGGTGCACGATGGTTAATCTCATTGTACTGAACTCTGATTTCTTGTCAGGTGTTACAATCCTGTTATTATCACACCCACTTGCCAGATGAGAAAGCTGAGGCAAATAACTTGCCCGGGGTATCTCACCCATAATTGGAGGAGGAACTGGGTTCCTGCCTAGAAGTTTCCGTGCGGGTTGGGTTATGCTTATTCCTTTGAAAGCTCGCGGGCAGGCGCGCGCGGATGAGTTGGGGAGAAAGAGAAGGGACCTCAGACCCAATGCTGCCTCTAAGGGGCTTGTGACTTCCCTTCCGGGACCCTCAGTTTTTCCAACTGCAAGACGGAAAGATTACACCAGACCATGAGATCTCACCCCGGGAACCTCGGTTGGGTGGCTGCACAATAGATATCCGGGGCTCTGAAGGGCTGCGCAGAGGCCAGTGGCTGCGCGGATCGGCTTTATTGTAGGTTCCCTGGTGTCTCACAGTCCGGAATTCCGAGCTCGGGTCTGTTTCGGTTGCTGCCCAGCTGCGCGGTTGAAAGGTTCGCGCTCCAAGATTCACTCGAGACACCAGAGTTACGAGTGGACGCCAAGTTACGGGTGGAGGACAGGGCCCGTCACGTCTAGCAGTCTTCCCAGTGTGTGTGTGGTTCTCTTCGCCTGGGGGGGGGGGGAGAGAGAGGGGGAGGGGGGGGGGGGGGAGAGAGAGAGAGAGAGAGAGAGAGAGAGAGAGAGAGAGAGAGAGAGAGAGAACTTAGGTCTGTGCGCTCTACAGAGAAGCAGGAGTCCTCGCTCCAGACTCAGCCACCAGGAGGGTCTGCCCAGGCTGGGTTCTCGCTCCCTCCCTTTCCCTACCGAGGTCTCTGGTTTTCTAGCCCCAGGGCACGAACCCTCAGGTGCTCTCCACTGCAGGGAGTGTGGGGCGCCCTGAGCAATCTCCGCCCCAACAGGAACCACAGTCTCAAAGACAGGCCCTCTCAGTGGTCACAGAGGCGGGGAGGAGGGAGGAGGAGTGAGATGTCACCTGAGGGAAGACTTCCCAGCTATGAAAATGAGCATAGTGCGACTAGGGACGCCCCCAGGGGCGTGTGACCCTCCAGAGCTGGACACAGCACACTGCTCTGGGGATTACCCCAGACCCCTCTCTCACACTGGCCTTGCCCTGGGGGGGGGGGCGGAGGGTGGAGAGTGCATCCTCTATGTGCAGTATGTTTTTTAAAAAAATGTAAATTAAACCTAACCATCTGTTTCTAATAGTTTATTTCTTGTGTGGAATATATTGTGGGATGTTTGTTTGTGGTTTTGAATGACTAATAGGCTGGAGCTCTTATCAGGCCTGTGGTATTTGATCAAAGACATAAGCCTGTGGCCATGCCCCCTCAAGTGGGGACCAGGAAAGCCAGGATCAGCTGAGCAGCAGGGTGCCATTTGCACTGGCAGACCAAGGACTCCTGTTGGGTGGGCAGGCTTGTCCCTGTCAGCCAGCTACACCTGAGAATCAAAGTGGGCCACACAGACGCTTCTAAAACAAGTGGAAACCCAGGCCTCACCCGGATCCATTGGATTGGCTGGGGGCAGGTTCTCCCATCAGTTTCTTAGATTGTTGAAAAGTTATTCTCTCACTGAGTTACAGTATTTCTGTATTTTTCACAAAACTTGAAGGTTTTCTACCTATTTTTTTTTGCTCACAGAAAGAAAATGATGTTCAGGGAATGAAAGACCACATAGAATGTATCTTAAAGGTATCTTAAGTTTCCAGATGTACATTTTGTGCCTCTCCCTTTTACAGTTGTTTCAGGTACAATCCTACTTAGTTGGAAAATAACACTAAAAAGTAAGAATCTTGTCACTTCCCAGTCAAGAGCACAGAGTAAAACTGTGCCAGCATACACAGGTGACTGAGTGAGGCCTTGGCATACATGGGGTCATTCTGTGTCTTGGCCACTCTGAACTTTACCCTGACAGGGACCCTGAGTGTGGCTAGAGCCCTTTGCAGTACTTCCGGACAGCCAGAGTGGTGCCAAGGTGCTTCCGTGGAGGTCTGTGGCATGGTGGCTGGGCACACAGGCCCCTCTTGGTTTGACGAAGAAAACACCTCCTTGGTTTTAAGAGGCTTTGGAGAGAGATTTGGGCAAAGCCAATGGGAGAGATTGAGCCTGCACTATGCACTGGGGCTAGTGAGTTAGTTACCTGCAGGAACCCCAGTTGCTGAAATTTGTAGAGGTGGGGTGGAGGAGCTTGTAGTGGAACACAAGTCCCTTTTGGGCTCTCCATCTTCCTTGTCTTCTCCCCTACCTGTCTACCACCTCTACCTCCTCACCTCTCTCTCTCTCTCTCTCTCTCTCTCTCTCTCTCTCTTACACACACACAGACACACACACACACACACACTTGTGTACCTGCCAAAGAAGCCAACAAGCAGAAAAACTCCCCAGTTCCTTAAGGGCTGTTGCCTGAGCATGTAGGAAACATCCTGTTTTATAGGTTCAGTAGTTCAAGAAGAAAGTTGAAAAGAATGAGAGGGAAAAGAGGGAGTGTGGCTATTTTAAAAAAAGAGACAGAGAAGGATCTGGTCTAGACTGACGGAGCCTCACATTTAAAATTAGCAAAATCTTGTTTTCCCAGTCCTCATATTCCCAGCTTCCTGCTTGTAGGTTCTGCCTGCCCCCTCCCACTTGGAGACTAAATACACGGGGGGTTGGGGGAGATTTTCCTACCCAAACCACAAGCCAGGAGAACCGACTAACACTGGTGCCCTCCTGAAGGATGCTGGCCAGAGAAACAGTGCCTTTGAGGCCTTCTGCTGGCTTGAGAAACCCCCTAGGCAGGAACTCGATCTCTGTCTGTGTAGGCTATGGGTGCCTGGCAGGCCACGGTAATTGAACTCTAAAACTTCACGGAAGGGAAGATGAAGTGGTGGACATGCTAGTAATGCAAGGCAATTTGGTATTTGGAGTGAGGGCTTTGGAGTTTGAATTCCATCTCTGCCATTTAGGAGCTGTGTGACAGGGAGCAAGCTGTCGCACCTCTTGATACCTCACTTTCCTTGTCTGCAAAATGGGCATGCAAACAATATAAACCTCGTAGGATTGTACGGAGGCTCATGTTCAGTAAATGGGCCAACACCTGGCACATACAGTTAAGAGCATAAGAATTGCTCACAGTTGTTGGTTTCCTTTATCTTTGGGCATAAACGTTTTAAACATTCTCTGAACAGTATAATTCTTTTGATTGCTGTAATATAATCGACTGCCATTTTAAGAGGGTGGCCACATCCTAGCAACGCTGGCATCTCAGCCAGGCCAGCTCACCCTGCTCCAATAAGATTCCTGCCTGTGTGTGCTGTGGCCCTGGCCCGGCGGTGACCCACATTGGTGGACGGGGAAAACTTCCCCTCTGCCCAGAATGAGCTGCCCGTTCATTCTACAAACATTTACTGAGCACCCCTCCCCTCCTGCCCCTGCCACAAGCCATTTATTGAGCACACCGATGGTCCCAGATCCTGATCTAATTTGGTCCTCACAGTAACCCCACGACTTGGTGTTCTTTTGTTTATTTTCTGAAGAAGGAAATGCCAAAAGTCACAGAATGGACAAAGGAGGGAACCAGAATTTATCCCTGCCCCGTCGGGTCCGTCTGTGTGTCGTCGCCCATGAGCTCACACTTCCTCAGGGCACTTGGTCCTACTGCTTCACCCTACCCTGATTTAATACCAGGCTGAGAATGTTCTCGTGTCTACTGAGTGTGGATTATCCGAGGAGAGAAACACAGTTTGCTTCCCTTTGCTGGTATTAGAGGATACTTTTAAAATATAAGAAAGTAAGCCCATCTCTTGTGTTGATATTTTCTTTCTTTTCTGTTGGGAAGCTGATAGGAGAGGAAATATCCAAATAGGACTCTTAGTTCCTTAAAATGACCTTGAAGTCTTCCAATTCGTTGGTGGAGGTGGGGCAGGGAGAATGACGCACAAAGCGGTCCCTGGGTACTACAGGAAGACTCACTTGAGAAGCTGGCAGGAAAACAGCTGGGACCAGGCGGCACTTGCAGGGGAGCCAGCCAGTGTGGGGATCAGCCAGCACTCGAGCAGTGCCTGTGGACAGAGGTCCCTGTCCCCAAGAGGAGTCTTCTTAGAAAATTCCTGCATTTGGTAATTTTGTTCTGTGCCCCTAATGTGTGCTGGGCGTAATTCTAGGTACTGGGATGCTGCCTTGGGTAAGGCTAAGTCCCTGCCCTTAGGGACACGCTTTAGTGGAGGCCCCAGACAGGGCAGGCTGAGGAAGGCTGTAGAAGGGACTTTGCTGGGTTCTGGGAGTCCAGGAAGGGTACAGGAAGGCAACAATGTCTCCACTGAGTGTGGAGATGAAAGGAAGTAAGCCAGGCAAGGCCAAGGGAGCACTGGCTGCTGCTCTGAGCCCAGCAAAGGGTCCTCAGCCAGGCTTGTGTAGAGCATGAGGGGCAATGGTGGTGGAGAGAGAAGGTGCTGGAAGGCTTGGCAGGGGCTGGCAGGAGAAGGGCCAGGTGAGGGAGTTTGAGCTCACCTGGTGAGAGACGGCCAGTCTTGGGGGGTAGGCCAGTGAGTATGAGATAGGTGGGTGGGCTGGGTGGCTATTAAGGAGGAACTGAGAGGAGGAGGAGGAGGGCAGAAGGCCTGTGTGTGGGTTTCTGGCAGTTTGGAGAATGGTAGCCCCGTGCCCTGACTTGGTGAGTGCAGGAGGTGGAATAATTTGGAGTTGGGACCATCAAAGGCTAATAGGCCCATGAGGCATCCTGCTGAGATGTCCTCATGGCAGTGGGGTGAATCTGGGGTTCAGGAGGGCACTGGGCTGGAAAGAGTAGATTGGAAAAATCTTCATCTACAAAAAGAATCTGTGGAGATGGATGAGATGGCCGGGGGAGGTGGAGTTGCAGGTGGGGCAGAACAGACTTGGGGCATCCAGGTCACACTTGACTATTCATTGTATGTCACCTCCCACCTTGTTTCCTTCTGGTCTTGACACCTGAGCTCTGACCTCCCTATGCCCCTGGCTGTGGTCCTTCCAGGCAGAGCAGAAATGACCCCCTCCTGGGTGACTCCATCTTCCCTGGTCACCCGAAGCTCCCTGTGCACTTCCAGCTCCCTGCCCTGTCCTGAAGTTCCCTGGCACCTCTGTCCTGCCCTGACTGCTCGAGGACAGGGCCAGGGCCTTGCTCGTCTCCCTGTGGCTTTGCAGTGGTCAGCCACTGTGTCTGGAGTCTGTGAGTCGGTGAGCAAATGAATTAAAGAAGACTGTTGTTGACTCTGCCAGTTCCACTTACGTAACAAGGCAGGCCTACTGCTTTTGTTGTTCACATTTCCTTTTTAAAATCAGGAAACATTTCAAATGTGCAGAAAAAGTACAGAGAATACGAGAACACTCATATCCCCACCTTCCAGATTTGACACGCAGCTGAACTCCTCTACAAGTCTCAGCCTACAGGAGAATACCTAGAATCCAAATGACTTACGCCAAACAGATTTTCCCATGGAAACAAAGTTATGACACCAACTCAAATCTCTGTGGGCATAGTGCCTCTTATTTTATTTTATCTTATGTTATTATTTATTTATTTATTTTGAGCCAGAGTCTCACTCTGTTGCCCAGGCTAGAGTGCCATGGCATCAGCCTAGCTCACAGCAACCTCCAGCTCCTGGGCTCAAGCGATCCTCTTGCCTCAGCTTCCCAAGTAGCTGGGACTACAGGTGTACGCCACCAAGCCTGGCTAATTTTTTCACTACTTTTAGTAGAGACAGGTTCTCTCTCTTGCTCAAGCTGGTCTCAAACTCCTGAGCTCAAGCAACTTTCCCGCCTCAGCCTCCCAGAGTGCTAGGATTACAGGCGTGAGTCTCTCGGTGCCTGGCTGCCTCTTATTTTATTTTTTAGTGAGAGCAGAAACTGCATTTAATCAACAGTGTGAAAGAAAGCCTTCTAAAGGCATATAAATCTGTCATCTGGGCAACCCCCTTCCTGGCCAGTCACACTGCCTCTCAGTTCATTTATGGGGTTCTGTGTACCGTTCATATCTTACTTCCTCATCGTACTCCCTGCCTGGAATGAGAGCCAGAAATCAAAAGGTGAAAAAGCATCTTCACTAAAGTCATGGAATTTGGGAAGCTTCCTGGAATAGGTTCTTCCTCTGTGTTGAAAAATAGCGGGTTAGGTTTGCTGAACTATCATGGTGATCTGTGTTTCATGTTTGATCGCCATTTCTCTTAAAAATGAACTTTTTCCCCCCCTCTTACAAAAGTAAAGTAGGGGCATCATGGAAAATGGGAAAATTCAGATAAGCCAACAGAATTAAAATAACTTAGAGTCCCACCTAGGAACAGATGCTGTTTGCTTTCTAGAGTGTATCCTTCCAGATGTTTCTCTTTTGTGTGTGTATGTGTGCCAGGTGTCTATATGCACATTCACACATACATTGTCTTCAATAAACTGGGACCATAGAGGTATATGGTTTAGGGACCTGTGGTTTTTTTTTTTTTTTTTTTTTTGACCCCTAATATAGAGAAAACACCTTGCTCTATCATTACACATTCGTCTATGAAATCTTGCTAAGCCTGGAGAGATTTTGGCAATCTGGAGGAGGCTTTTAGAAAGAGTTGGGGTCTTAGAAATGGTTCTGGGGTCACCTGTCTTTCTGTTGTCCCTACACATTTTTCCATCACAAGTATAGGAATTAGAGACCAAGGCACATTTGGGGCTGGAATCCGTTTCTTCCGACCAGTGCTGCAGCACATCTGCCCCTCCCCCATTGCCACCAATGTGCTGGAACAAGGGGTCCCTAGTGGGCAGAGGTCTGAGTGCACGGTGACAGGTGCATACACTTTCTAAAGAGCAGTGGTAGCAGCCTCACTGCCACAATTCATAAGATCCTCAGGAGTCACAAGTTTCCTTCCAATCACCAAAATGTAAAAAAATTTTAATAAACTTTCTCCCACCATGTGTGGATGGTGGGGGTAGAGGGACAAAGTTTTAGAATGCCCAGTCCATTTGTGAGGCATCTCACAAAATAGGAAAAGGAAGACATATTCTCATTCCCCTCTCGAGGTACAAACATAATTAAAGCAGTCTTCCTTCTTGCCTCACCTTTGAAAGCGTTTTCTTGGTAAGTCCCTGGAACCACGTAGCTCTTTGGGAAAAATACTGTGCGATTAAAACCTGCCACACCTTTAGTGCTTTAGATTATTATGTTAGAAGGAAGTCCTAAGCCTCAGTTTACTCCTCTGTGAAATGGAAAAAATAAAATGTACTTTGTTGTTGTGAACATTAAACGTGATAATGTATGTAAAGTGCTTCTTGTTGCATAGTAAATGCTCAAAGAATACTAGATGTTGCTACCTTCTGTTAATACAGAATAAGAAAATGAGTGACTGGCTGTATTTTGAGTTTGACCACCCAATTAGTGATGCGTGCTGGGAAATGTTAAAAATTCTTTGTTTTTGCTTAATGTAGCATTCAATAAATATTGGTCAAATGAATGAATGAATGAATGGTGCTATGCATGATAATACTACTTCTAGACATTGGTTACCATGTCTTTTCCACCAAAAATCAATTATATGATCTTTTGTACAGAGCATCTGCTCTTTAAAATCTGTTGTATATGTCTGGAAGGGTTTAGGGCTACTTGTTTTCTAGTTTTTTACCTATAGTCAGGTGGACATAGGAAGTTTGTATGTGGGAAGTTTGTCCGCACACACAGATATGTCAGTTTTCATTGACTTATATATTCATTTTATGAGATTATTGCAGGAGCTGTTAGTAACTATTCAGTGAGGTCCCCACATGTTTCGGGTTTTGTAGTTAGTGTCAAAAATTTGAATCAACACAACATAATGGCTGGGCACTGTGGCTCATGCCTGTAATCCTAGCACTCTGGGAGGCCAAGGTGGGAGGATCACTTGAGATCAGGAGTTCAAGAACAGCCTCAGCAACAGTGAGACCCTGTCTCTACTAAAAATAAAAAGAAATTAGCCAGACAATTAAAAGTAGAAAAGAAGAGCTGGGCATGGTGGCGCATGCCTGTAGTCCCAGCTACTCGGGAGGCTGAGGCAGGAGAATCACTTAAGCCCAGGAGTTTGAGGTTGCTGTGAGCTAGGCTGATGCCACGGCACTCTAGCCCAGGCAACAGAGTAAGACTCTGTCTTAAACAAAACAAAACAAAAAAACCATAACATAGTGATATCAGCAAGATCACAAACCTTCATGCTCTTGTGCCACATACCAGTGGTTTACGTCTTGAACTGACTGAGAGTTGTGGCTGATCTTGGCCTTGAGGCTCTAAATGGCTGTGTTCTTTCATGGAGTTTGACACACTGTTGACACCTGAACACCCCCCATATGAACACTTAATGTCTTAGTGTACGACCCTGCTGCCTTCAGCTTACATGGGGTGACTACTCTGAAACCTTGTTCCTGTTTCAACATGCATATGTGTAGCACATCCCTTCCAATGGATGTCACCTGTCACCTTTCTCCTTTGTAAAATGGCAGGCATGGAAGAGAAGGCTCAAAAGCTCTTTGTGTCTCAGCCCAGGGAAGTAGGAAGACCATGCCTGGGAACTGACTCTAGCTTTTACCAGCTTGGGACTCTGAGGCTCAGTTGCCTTCCCTGGAGAACAAAAATAATAATTATGATTATTCTGAGGGTCAGAGACAAGTGCTTTGTGAGTGGGATTGTGGGGGAGGGATTCTGGACTGGCCATCATGCAGTTGTGTAACAGTGTAACGCAACAGTGTAACGCAACGGTGTAACAGTGCTAGGGGACCCTAACTAGGACTGAGCTAAAGGCCACAGAAGAAGCCAAATTTCAGTGATGTTCTTTTCCTTTCTGTGACTAGGAAATTCCTGTCTGCACACTGGTTTGGCCCACCATTGCTGGAGAAATCTCGTGGGATGTGTCTTTTGTGACTTTGAACTTCTTGGTTCCAGGACTGGTCATTGTGGGCAGTTACTCCAAAATTTTACAGGTACGTTTGCTTCAAGTGCCGCAGCTGAACTTCACTCGGACTCAGAATGTTTCTGCTAGAATCTTAGAATTTGGGCTTGGAAGACACCCAGGAGTCACTCCAGTCCAATCCTGACTCACTGCCCAAGTCTGCCCCTGCAACGCTGAGGAATGAGAGTTTGGTATTTAAAAAAATTATAAGTTATATCTTTGTGATTGCAATTTTTTTGGCTCATCACTAAATTAATACAAGCTCTTTACAAAAAATTAAAATGAAAACAGATGCAGAAATGTATAAACTGTACCCTATAAATTGAAAACTTGCACTACCCCCATTCTTAACAACTCAAGATATATTTTTTCAGATTTTTTTTTTATAAATTTACATACACATATCATACATACTGTATGTGTGTTTGATGGACCACATGAAATTGCAGGTTAAAATGGTCAGGTAGCTGTTCGACACTGTTCAATCCAATGCTCCTTTCAGGTATGAGATGATACTATCTGCCCTGTGACTTCCTTTTTTCAGTTCACACTGTTTGTTCACATCTTTCCACATCATTCTCATATCACTAGTTCCTTACTTGGAGTGGCTGCAGACGTGACATCATTTATTTTACAGACTTTGTTGCCGTGTCCATTGTTTCCCCATCACAAACACTGCAGTGATAGAGAAGTATACTTTTCAAAACTTTTATTGAGGTATCATATACATATGGGAAAACACCCAGAGTACGTGTCCAGCTCACAAGCTGACCCTGCTCATGAAGGCAGCTCCCAGGTGGAAATGTTACCAGTAGCCCCTCCCTGTCACCTTCCAATAGGTACCCCCCAGCCCCGAAGAATGTCCCTTTCAAATGTGCACTGAAACAGGAAATGATCTCTACCCTCAAAGCAAGTATATCCAGGGACTTAAAAAAGGTGGGCCAGCCTGTTTCCTACCCCAAACGCAGCCCTTTTGCATGTAAGATGCCGGCCCAGGCAAACGGCACATGTGTGTATTTATGCCCATTTTAGAAGATGGAACACAATGCCTTTGAGTCCTCGTGGAGGGTTCTAGTTGTTGAATCTCGGTTTTATAGCACGGTATGTACGGGTCACCTGGCAGATAGGCATACTGAAGTTGTGCCCTCTGGGTTCTGTTTGCCGTCTGGCCGCTTTTATGGCCCTTTCTTTGTAGCTGAGGATTTGTAACCTTCTCAGTTGCTCAGAACCAAAACCGGGCCAACCTTTGTACAGGTCTGCTAATCCCTGGGTCCTGTGGGAGATGCCACCCATGTTATGTCACTGCCTGGACTCGTGCCCACCACATGACTTGTGACCCCAAAGCAACCCCCCTCCCCATCCTGGGGCTTGTTCAAGTGTAAGAGGCAGACTCAGGCCTGGCATTAGTTAATACTATGGAAGTGTTAGCTATTATCACTAAGTTGAAAGAAATGAAGGAAAAAGGAAAGGAAATGTAAAATGGATTTATAAAAATTTGTTTAACAAATATTTCTGTAGTGTTTGCCATGTGCCAGAAACTAACTTGTTTAATCCTGATAAGAATTATAGATGAGGAAACCCAGGCACAGGGAGGTTAAGTAACTTACCCAAGGTCACACAGCTTATAAGTGGCAGTATTGGGATTTAAATCCAGGTAGTCTAGTCTCAGAGTCCTGACACATTAATTCCTCAGACATTTGTTAAGGGTCTGCTGTACAAAGTGCTGGTAGAGAGTAGAGGCAGGTTAAAAGCAGGCAAGGAATATTCTCTATCCAGAAGGACCACTGACAGAAGGAGGGGAGGAGGAAGGAGACAGACAAGGGTGCTGCTATTCAAAGCAGAGAGACTCTGGAACACAAGGTGGACTGATACTGAGACTTTGAAAACACTCTGCAAACTGTTAAATGCTGCACAACTGTCAGGGATGAATAAGGGGTGTGAGAGAGGAAAGCAAAGGGCTGTGAAGACAGACACAGAGACTTGAAAGTGTTCTTTTAATAATCTGGCTTTGAGTCTTGAATCTGCCACTTACTTGCTGTGTGGCCTTGGGTGAGTTACCTACCCTCTCGGATCCTCAATTCCCTCATCTACAAAATGCAATCATAATTCCAACGGTGTAAGGTGGTTGCGAGGCATGTAAGAGGTGCCTGGTGGGGCATATGGCATCGTGCCTGCCTGGAGCAGGTGATGAATACATTATGCCTGCTGTCATTTGTTAGGCAAGGCCTCTCTTCCTGCCCTTCTCTTAGAGCATGCTGGGAAAAGATGTCACTGAGATTTTCAAGAGAATAAACAGCAGGCTCAGATTTGGGTCACAGCAAAGATAAGGAACCAACACTGGAGTTGGGCTGTTGGGAGGAGGTGGCAGCATTTGACCTCCCCTCCCTGGGGCCCCACTCCTGAGTCCCTTAAGGACCAAGAGGGCTCTGGTCTGTCCCTTTTCACTCATGCCTCACTGTTCCCGGCTGGCTGCTGAGGGAGGAATGATTTCCCAGCCACTCCCCATCTTTCTCTCAAGGACAGGCCCACCTGGACAGATCCTAGGAGCCCTGATGAGCTGGGGCAGGTGTCCTCCTCTGCGCCCAGCTCTGCACAGCAGTCCAGCGCTCCCACACCCTTTCCTCTCAACCCTCAGCCGCCTCCAGTGCTCTCCGTCACAGACTCCAGGACAGCTCCTGGACGCACGATCCCCGCCCTGTGAAATGGCGCTCTGAGTAATGAGTCAAAGATATAATTTAGATCCTACCACTGCCCTCATGCATGCAGCGTGATCCGAAGCCCTCGCCTTACGGCCCTACGTGATCTGGCCCTGCCTGCTCCTCTCACTTCAGCTTCCCCCTCTTCTTGTGTCCACGTTGGCTTCGGGGCTGTTCTGCACACAGGCCAACATCCCGCTGCCTCAGGGCCTTTGCACCTGCCATTTCCTCTCCTGGATCTCTTCCCTAGATTTCCACATGGGCCACTTCCCCACTTCATTCAGGTCTTTACTCAAAAGGCTCTTCCCCAGAAAGACTCCCTGTCAATCTCCATCCCCTTATCCTGATTTATGTCTCTTCAAACACAATCCTGTCATATTCCATTTATGACAGCCATCTATCTTGCCCACTGCAGTGCAAGCTCCACGAGGACAGAGACTTTGTTCTGTTCTTTGCTCTATCCCTCTGCCTAGAGCACGGCTTGCCTTGTGCACTGCAGGTCTCCATAAATACTTGTGGAACGAGTGGGGCCCGAGCCTTGGAGCACACTGAAAGGGTCCATAGGGGCTTTTCTTCTTGGGAAAATCACTGGTGAGAGAGTCATAAGACCAGGTTCTAGCCCAGGCATATGTAATGCGGGCCTCCATTTCTGCCGTGAGCCTCGGTGGATTAACACGATAAAATGGAAGAGCAAACATGAGGATGCTTTAAAAATCACAATGTTAATGCAAATGTAAGACTTTAAAAATAGTTACTTTCCACCCCACTAGCAAAACTCACTGTTGCCCATTTCCCAGGAGGACAGTGACATTTGTCCTCACTCGGTGCCCGAGAGTTTGCCAGGCTGACAACTGGGAAGCAGGTGAGCTGCCGCCAGGTGGCTGGAGACGGCGTGGCAGGGCGCGGCCTCACTGTTGGCGTCTCCTCCCCTCTGAAGATGTCCATAACTCAGGGACACTGACTCAAGCTTTCCTGTCGGAGCCTTTTCTTCCAAGACCATAACTCTGTAAAATCAACTGAACTTCAATATTAATTAGCCATATCCACAGAGAAACAAGTAGAAAATCACTTAAAGTCACGCGGCACGTAACTACATCCTTACCCCTTCCCCACCGGTCCTCACCTCTCGGCCGTCACTACTGCCTGTAACCAGGAGCCACCTCCAGGCTGGCGAAGTGTCTCTTTCACATCACCCTGATCTTTTATTGTTCTAAAGTGGAGTGTCTCCTAGGAATGTTCTCTAGGGATGTTAGTTTAGGTGTTGGAAAGAGTTCCATGGTCAAATGAGTTTGGCAAATGCTGAGATAATCAATGCTAGATGGGATCCTTTGCTGCAGGACTTCTCAGAGCCTTTATTATGCTAATATACTTTGGGAATCTCCCACAAAGGAATACAGCAGGTGGCATTGCTATATCTGACCATGGGACCCCCTTTGTCCCACAGAGCATCTCTCTGGACTGGTGCCCCACAGAGCCCCCTTTGGGAAACCCTGCTCTAAATCCTTGCTTTCCTTCCTGGTTCTGATCTGGGCAAGGATTCAGAGCAGGCTTCACCTTGGCTCTTCCCCTGCCAGTCACCCTTCATCCGCTGCTTCATGTACTCGGGGCAGTGGCCTTATTCACCCTTCTGCCTTCCCTGCTTCCTCTTTCCTTGTGACTCAGATGGGCCATACATCTTCAGTGGATTTTCCACTCAACAGTCTTCCCAAGGAAACAGCCTCCCAGCGACTCCTAAGTGCCTTTGATCAGGCTGTCAGCACTGGCTGTTTGGGGCTTGGTTTACATCGTCGCCCAGCAACTGTTGCCATGGCAAGCTGAGATGCCTCCACCCTTTGCAACAGTGTGCATGTTAATCGTTCCCCGCCCGTTGCCCACATGCGCCCAGGAATGGAAGAGCCGTGTGGGCAGCTCCCTTGCTCACTGCTGCGTGTCCAGCTCCTGCAGGGTGCTTAGCGCATAGTACAGGCTTGATAAATGCGTGGGAAGGAGTCTGTGGCTTGCAGCTGGAAAACCCTCAGCCTGCCTCAGGGCTCAACTGCAAAAGAAAATCTGTTTCAGCTGAACATGAAGGTGTTAGGCAGTGAACACGGAGCCCTTGGCCCACGCCTGGCCTTGGCGGCCTGCATGCCAGTCATGGAAAGGGAGGAGTCTCTTGTCTGATGATTCTAGGTGGGAGGCTGTAGGTGGACCAAACAGCCCCAAAGGAGACTCAACCTTCAGGGCCCAACTTGTGGGGGTCAGTGGGAACGTGCTCTGCCTGCACCCCCCGCCGGCAACCACGGGCAGGTGGCATGGTGTGGCAAAGGGGTGAGAGATGGGGACATGTTCTTCCCTCATGGTCTTTAGAAGTGCATGTGGGTGTAAAGGCAGCAGATCTCAAAACGGGCTGTCTTCGCAGGGCTGGGGGAGGAGCTCTCGACCATGCCTGTTGACCTACATGAGTAGTTCAGTGAGCAGGACTTGCCCGGGAGTTTTGCAGAAGTGCAGATTTCCGGGCCCCACTCGGTCCCACAGGGCCTCAGCATTTGTATTTTGCCTCGTGCCCAGTGGCTGCGGACCCCATTCCCACGGGCGTTGTCCTCCCTCCCGCAGCGCGAGCCTTGGCAGAGGAGAGTGCTGGCGCCTCTGCGAGAGGTTCACCCCTCCGCACACTTGACCGTGAGGCTTGAGCAAGTCACTTCACCGCTCAGAGCCCTCCTCTTCGTTCCAAGACTAGGGAAACCACAGAACCAACCACAGAGGCTGGCTTTGAGGATTAGAGTTAATTGAGCATTTAATTTAATCTAAAACACACCAAGCATTCTGCCCGATGCCGGAGACATTTGAAATCCTGGATCAGTGTTGACTGGCCTTGACATCTAGCATGGGGAGGGGAGCAGGGAGTAGCCACACTGATTCTAAGGGCCCGTTTTCCTCCTCATTCCCTGCAAGTTGCGGGAACGTGGAGAGAAGGAAACAGTAGCATTTGTCAGTGCTAAAAAAAGACTCCCATTTATGCACTTGGCCCATGAGTCAGCCCACTTTGTCTGTAGCTCACAATCATTGTCAGGCACCTGCAGGAGCCCTTGGCCACAGAGGGTACAGGGATGTCCCGATTAAGGTCCCAGTTTCCCAGGGAGCCATAGGGAGGGGGTCTGGTGGGGGTCAGAGGTAGGAATGACACTTGGACGCCTACCATACAGGATATATGGCAAGTGCAGCACAAGTGCCTGAAACAAAACACTGCCAGATGCCAAGCGGGAGATGAATCAGGAAGCTTTCTTGGAGTTCCTGGCATTACAGCTTGCAGTTGAGGGCTGAGCAGAAGGATTCCCATAGATGGAGATAGAGAGTCAGAAGGAACTTATTTAAGATTAAGAGAATGGGGCCAGCTCACGCCTATAATCCTGCCACGGCAGGAGAATTGCTTGAGCCTGGGAGTTCCAGACCAGCCTGGGCAATAATAGTGAGATTCCATCTCTCAAAAAAATAATTAGCCAGGTATGGTGGTGTGGACCTGTAGTCCCAGTTATTCAGGAGGCTGAGCCAGGAGGAGTACTTGAGCCCAGGAGTTTGCAGTGAGCTATGATCTTGCCACTGCACTCTAACCCCAGAGCAGGAGACTCTGTCTCAAAAAAAAAAAAAAAGATTAGGCGAATGGGCTGGGGACAGACTGCCAAGTTTGAAGCCCAGCTCTGCACCATCTCAGCTGGGTATTGTTGGGCAGGTTGCTGAACCCCTTAGCCTCTTTGAGCCTCGGCTACCTCGTCTGTCAAATGGGACCATCAAAGTACATATGTCACAGAGTCGTTGGGAGTATTTAAAGAGCTAAGCCAAGTGATAGGGAAGGGCCTAGCACATAGTAAGTGCCCCATAAATGTGACTTCTGTCAATGTCATTCACTCAAAAAATATTTATGAGACATTATACCAAGGACTCTGAGTACACTGTTTTTCTTCTCGGCGGGATCACGTGGGCAGTGTGAGGGAGTCAGCCCTCGTTGCCCACCAGGCTGCACTGAGGCCTAGAGTGACTCCCCTGCAGCCCACCCGCCTGCCACCCTGCCCAGCTGTTCCTGTCCCAGATCTGTCTGCCAGGTCTCCCAACAATTCTGTAACACACGTACTTTGCTGGTCCCCATTTGACAGATGAGGAAGCTGAGGCTCAAAGAGATGATGATTGTATCTCCTGCACACCCACACCCTCACAGCAGGGGAGGGTGGGGAGGGCTGGATAGTACTACAACCCCTTTTGAGCCTTGCTGATATAGCTGGTCTTTAAGCAAATTGGGCTGGATTTGCCCAGATGGGGGCTTTGGCCATTTATTAATATTATTGGTGGAGTGACCTTCCATAAATTACTTAAATTTCCTGAGGTTCAATTTCCCGATCTGTGAAGTGGGAATAATGACAGTACAAATCCCATGAGGGATGGGCTGCTGCTCCCAAGAGTCGTTGTGAAGATTAAATGTGACAGTTGAGAAAACAAACGTGCAGCCTGAGCCCTGGACAAAGCTCAGGGATCCTGATCAGTGCTGCCCTTGGCGAGCCGCTGGGGAGGAAGGGGTGTGTTCGCTCAGCGTCTGTTGCCCTGGTCGCCATCGCCCACAGGTGGACCTAACCTCCCGCACAGGGCAAGCAGTCATATTTAATCATGAAACAATTAAATGACTATCCTTTAATTAGGTTGTTGGAAGTATTCTAAGGAGAATAGACTCAGCCATTCTGATCTTGGAGTTAAACTTGCCCAATTGTGACTGATGCTAATTACCTTCTAATTACATCCCCTCTAGAGCTTCAGGAATCTTAGGGGAATGGGCCCTGGGGTTCCAGCACAGCCGACAAAGAGAGCCGTGGCCATGCAGGCTCCAGATGGTGTAAGCACCCTCTGCGCGGCCAGTGGCCTCTTGCCGTGGGAAAAGCAGGACACAGGGCAGTCTGAGCAAGTGGGAGTTAGCAAGGACGGCTAACGTGGTCAAGATGTTCCATGTCGACCCTTTCCTTGGTGGCAGAGGTCACATCCTAGGTTGGCTGAGCACCAGCCAGGCACCACTCTACTGCCGCCAGCCCCACCCGCACCCCACCCATCTCTAAGCATCACTGACATTGAGCGACTGATGGGGGAACAGCCGGCCAGCCCTCCTCCTTCTGGCTGTGCCTAGAGGACAATTAGAATTAGGCATAAGGAAGGGCAGGTTCACTGTGTGTGTCACCAGGGCTCCTGGACCCTAAGCACTGGGCCCTGCCAGCTTCTGGCTTGGATCAGCAGTAGCAGCAGCATCATGCAAGAGCTTCTTAGAAATGCAGACACTCAGCCCCACCCCAGACCTGCTGAATCAGAATCTACATTAAAATAAGATCGCTGGGTGCCTGGCAGGCACAGTAAAGGCTGGGGACTGCTGTTCAAATGACACTTGGGCTCCCTCTAGCCCCAACACTATGGTTCTGAGATGTTACGAAGTTTGTGTATGATTCAAACACACTGTTTCTATGTGGGGCCGTGAGATGAGAGGACACCCAGGGCTTTGTTTTAATCAGGCCAGCCTGCGTCAGTTGATAGGCCATTTCTGTGTGCGAGGCTGCCCACTGTTAACTAAAACCAGCCTCTCTGGTGCTGAAGCAAGACTGCCAATGAGCAGATTGTACAGGAGACCCAGGGAGCAACACCCACAGAGGCTCCTGGAAGAAGAGTCCAGAGCCCCTTCGAAACCCACATAAGCAGGGGTGCTGTCACTGGCCACAATCCCTCTGCCAGAATGCCGGCCCTGCTCATTGGTATACAATATTAGAGGTCCCAGCGGTTAGGCTGTTAGGAATTTATTATGCATGAGAATGTTTATTCCACCAGTCACCACCTCTCAAATGGGGCATAAATATGAAATTTTGGTAAATGTCACCAGCAGTGCTCTGATCAGCTCCTTTTTCTCGCTGCAGGAGGGAAAATTTAATGACATCTATGTCTAATTCTAGAACTTTCCAGCCACTTTTGGGTTATGACTGCTTGTTCAAAACTTCCCCTGCTCACAGTGGAGGATGGTTCTATAGCGTCGGGGGTGGGATGGGGGTAGAGGAAAAGGATGGACTGCCCTGCCCCTGTCTCCCTCAAGCACAAGGATCTTGCATGACTGCTCATGTGAGGTGGTCACCTGCTTCTGTTGGTCATTGTGTCTGATCTCCTTGTGGCTGGTGGTGGTGCCAACAGGCCCTGCTGATGAAGGGATCCTTCCCAAGCTGCACACACCCCAGCCCGGCATGGGGGAGGCTGCCCCAGCCCCAGCTGCATCTTTGGGCTGACCCCAACAGCAGCTTCCAGTCTCATCACCCTTCCTTAACCCCCAACTCAGGGGCGTGTAGGCAAGACTAGGATCCACTGCCTCCTGCCCCTGCCCCTAGGGCAGGCTCCCGTGCTCCCTTCTGCCTGGCCTAGCCCCACCATTACGCCATCCCCACCACCTCCGCCCACTCAACAACCTGCAGGGGAGCGAGGCAAGAGTACATGCACTGCCACTTCAGCCACCGCCTCCCCAAACAAACAAACAAGGCCAAATACATGAAATACCCATCAATGGGGCCTGGATAATTCTGGTACCCATACGGTGGAATACACACAACCACCACCAAGATAGCAAGAATGAGGGGGCTTCTCTGTGCCAATAAGGAATGAGCACCGTGATACCCTGCTAAGCAGAAGAGCAAGGTTCAGAGCAGGGTGCATGGTGTGGTCCCTTCTGTGTACCAAGCAAAAGTGCAGACGCCTGCGACCCCTCGGCCAGGTATATCGTGTGTGGAGGTGGCACTTTCCCAGAAGGCCATACAGGAGGAAACTACTCACTTTGGTCCCCTCTGGGGAGTGGAAATGAAGAGTACAGAAGGCTTGAGCCCTGACACTCTTCACCTGCTCCCTGTCAGTGCCGTCTGATTTTGTGCCTTGAGAATAATATATTGCTTGTATGCAATTAATGACTTAGCTTCTTTTAGAAAAAGAAATAACAGGGAAGATGTCCCTCCCCTATACCACGTGCTTCAGGCTTTTCGCTCCCCCTCATCAACTCTGTTTACAAGTGTGTGATTTTGTGTCTATTTCTCAGGAGGCCGCCAGTCGGGCCCCCTTTCTCCAGCGCACCCTAAGCGCGGGCGGTGGGAGAAGGGAAAGCTGCCTCCACACAAAGTCCCTACGCCCCACGGCCCCAGCGCCCTGGGGACGGCAGGTTCCAAGTCCCGGCTCCTGACGCAAAAAGCCCTGACTTCCGCAGTAACCTGTGGCTCCGGCTCTGTTCCCCGCAGATCACCAAGGCGTCCAGGAAGAGGCTCACGGTGAACCTGGCGCCCTCGGAGAGACACCAGATCCGCGTGTCCCAGCAGGACTTCCGGCTCTTCCGCACCCTCTTCCTGCTCATGGTCTCCTTCTTCATCATGTGGAGCCCCATCATCATCACCATCCTCCTCATCTTGATCCAGAGCTTCAAGCAGGACCTGGTCATCTGGCCGTCCCTCTTCTTCTGGGTGGTGGCCTTCACGTTCGCGAACTCAGCCCTGAACCCCATTCTCTACAACATGGCGCTGTTTAGGAACGAATGGAGGAAGGTGTTTTGCTGTTTCTTTTTCCCAGAAAAGGGGGCCATTTTTACAGACACGTCTGTCAGAAGGAATGATTTGTCGATTATTTCTGGCTAGTTACTTTTTCTCTCTAGGCCGAGTTCCTCACTCTCTGGCCAGCCGCCGTATGCCCTTAAAGGGACTTAATTTCCAGGACCATCCCCCAGTGTACCTTGCTTTAAGAAAATGTAACTTATGCAAATCCACGTCTGCAGCTCCGGCACATTAAGGGATGATCATTCGGTATACCAATATATTCCCCGTATCAAAGGATTTGTTATGGGTTCCTTTTAAACATGAACTTTTTTTGTATATTTGTAATATGATTGAATTTAATAAATTTTTATTTATAATTGTTCAGCAATCATATCTCCTACATGTAAAGCCACACCCTGACTGGTTTCTGAAGTGAGTCTTGGAAATGATTCAGGACCCAGATTTCTCCTCTGCAGGGTCACAGCCACTCCAGGCTCCCACCTGGGACTCATGAGGCCTTAAGATCATTTATTCATGTCAAGAGCATTTGAGGAATTTCCAAGGAAAAAGTAAAGATGATTTTTTTTCCATTTAATAAAAATGCCGTGGACCCCTTTAGGAAAAGCGATGTCATGAAATCAGAAAGAGGGCAGGATGACTCCGAAACATTTGAGAGTGAGGTCAGGAGTGAATCTCTTCATTGATCCATCAGCTGAGCACCTTGAGCACCTGCCATGGCAGATGGTGTTCTTGGTGCTGGGAGGCAGCAGTGAACCAGACAGCCCGCCCCTGCCCTCAGGGAGCTTACCTTCTGGTCTGGGGCAGAAACACCAAACACAAGTCAATAAACAGTATGTCATCACAGAGTAAACACCCTGAAGAAACCGGGACAGGTTGCTATGGTAGTGATGGTAATTTAGATAGGGTGGAGAAGTGTCTGGGAAGACCTTTCTGAGGAGTGACATTTGGGTCAAAAAGGCAACAAGAAAGAGCTAGCCATGCGAATCTGGGGGAGGGGGCTCTGCAGGCAGGAGAGACGCTGGTGCAAGGTGGCTGGACAGGAGCACGAGTGCTGTAAGCCAGGCAGAGCAGGCTGTTGGCTGGGCCTTCTCCACACCAGGCACTGCCCTTGAGGCTCGGATGAGGGTGGAGTCCCTCTGCTGGAGTCCATCAATTGAGGCCAGAAAAGTTACAGGGTTAGATCATGCAAGGCCCAGGAGGCCGCTGTAAGGAATTTATCCTGTGTTTGGTGGGCAGCCCCTGGAGGTTTGCAGGTGGAGACTGGTATGACCTGATGCATGTGTTCAAACAGTACTCTGGCTGCTGTGCAGGGAAGACTTTGAGGAGCAAGAATGGAGGTGGAGGCCAGTTAGGTAGCTGCGGAAGTAGAACAAGACTATGGGGAACTTGGAGGTGAGTGGCATTGGTGAGGCATTGTGGGAAATGATTTGGGGATATCCTTTGGGAAGGTGGAGCAAAGATGATCTGTTGATGGAAAGGATGGAATTGGTAGAATGTAAGGGAAAGAGAAGATTCAAGGGTGACTCCTAGAGTTTTAACCTGACGATGGTTGGGTGGTGGAGCCGGCAACAAAAACAGGGAAGACTGAGAGAAGATTGGACATCCAAGTAAAATAAGCAGTCGGATGCAGAGATGTGGAGCTTGAGCCTAGAGATGCAAGTTTAGAGATATGGGTGGTGTTTACAGACCTGTGTTTTACAAAATATCCCTGGGAGAGAATGGAGAGAGAGGAAGTCAGAGCCAAAGACTGAGCCCAGGGACATGCCAACATGTGGAGGTTGGGCCAATGGCTGGAATGCGCAGTAGCACAGAGCCTGGCACATAGTAGGTGCTCAACAAATCTTTGTTGCCCAGTAAATGGGCACCAATAGTTGCCATTGCTTGTGCAGCTTCCAGAGCTGCTTGCTTCTGAAGTGAGATTCATGGTGATCACAAGCTCAAGGACAAACAGACAAGCCTCATCTGTTCACTTTGGTTAACAGATTTGGTATAGGAAAGCTGTTTATTGAAGTGACACTTGAGTACCTTACGGGTCTCTGAACCAGGCTCTGGCAGCCTGAGTGAAAGGCAGAACTTTCCATGTGTGGCCACCTGGCTCCTCTCTCTTTTGTGGAGGACAAGGCACACTGGGGTGGGGGACGCAGGATCCCCCCATGGCCCCTGGATGTGCCAGCACCCAGGCGGAGATCTGTGACCCCTTCCCCACTCCCGATGCATTTCCCAGCCCTCAGCCTGGCATCGGCAGCTTGCACAGCTCCTGGATGTGCAGACCCCACCTGATGGAATCCTCACCACACCCCCCTGGCAGGGCCTGTTTCCCCACATCTCACAAGAGTGAGGCTCAGAGAAGTCATGTCACCAGCCCCAAATCACACAGCTAATACATACCTGAGCTGGACCACAACTTAAAACCAAGACCCTCTGCTCCCATAGCATGCTTCTTTTTTCAAGATGAGAAATGGAGGCTCCTGGGAACCCCTGGGAAACTGAGGCACATGGCTGTGCATGAGTTTTGGCTCTACAGTTCACACGTGCTGCTGATGGTGTAGGACACTGGTGTTCTGCCCAGTCTCGGACACCTCACCTCCCTGCACACCCTAGGTAGGGAGGCCTCTGCTTTTTCCTACACACCTGGTTTCCAGGGCCCCATCTCTCAATTCCTCCAGGGAAACCAGAGGCCTTCCTCAGCATTTTGTCCACACTTGTAGTGAGTGCATTGCATGCTGGCGACAGTGAAGGGCTGGGAGTGTTTCTAGAGCGCACCCTGACCAGGGATCTCGCCCTCTCAAACCGAGCCAGTGGGCTGTCCTGCCCACCTCACCACAGGCCTTGAGCCCACTGAGGCCTTGGGCTTGCTGGCCTCACTTCCTCTTTTGGCTTCAGTGCTTTGGCCAGGCTGGTGTTTAAGGCCCTCCCTGGTTATTGAGGAAACCCTTTTTGGAAGTTGGGAGAAACCAGTCTCTAATAATGGAGATTAGGCATTACAACAGGCCAAAGGTCAGGAAGAGCCACGGCAGATAAAAGCAAAGTGCACCCCACTGCCCATCTGCAGGATTTCTTACTTCTGTCACAGATGTGAACACAAATAAAAACTCAAATCATAGGAAATGGATGACTATATTTTAATGAATCAAAGCCTGGAATCCTAAGCCTCAAATGATCCTTAAGAAAGATATACATTTGACTGCAAAGAGATTCACTTATTCTCCCATATATTTTTACATGTACTGAAGGTTTTATGCGCATGGACCAAGGTGAGGAAGAGGGGCTAATTAACTCCTAAGATAAATAGAGTTGAAGATGCAATGAGAGTAAATCGTAAGTTTTCAAATGAAACTTTACATCCTTGATGTTGCTACAAAATGTTTCTTTCTGATCTGCCATCACAATAACCTGAAATACAGAAAACAAAGCCATTAATGACAGAAAGATGGACTCAGTGTTTACGTAGATAATAGTAGATAATAAATATCACGGTGGTCTTGGAGCTGGCTTCATTCAGATGCTGTTTCATGCAAATACATCACAGCAGATTGCAACTCTGAAAGTGTGAAGCTGTTGTAATTCATAAACACCCTCAGGGCTGTTTCTGGAACCCTTTAGATGTCTCTGGGGGCTATAAGGGTTGGGAGAATAGGCTCTGCTGTAGGCAAGAGTGCTGCCTTTTATTTCTCTTAAATTTGCCTCACTGCATTTCAAAGTGTTGGGGGCCTGGGGGGCTCATTCTCCTGTTTCAGGAAGGTAGGGGGCAATTCAGCCTGACCTTGGCCACAATGTTGGTGGTGTTGGTGTTTTTTGTTTTTTTTCTGGAGCCAGGGTCTTGCTCTGTCTCCCCAGCTGGAGTGCAGTGGCATCATCAGAACTCACTGTAACCTCCAACTCCTGGGCTCAAGCGATCCTCCTGCCTCAGCCTCTCCAGTAGCTGAGACTACAGGCATGCCACCATACCTAGCTCAATTTTTTTTTTAAATTTTTTGTAGAAATGGGGTTCCACTCTTGGTCAGGCTGGTCTCAAACTCCTGGCCTCCCAAAGTGGTAGGATTACAGGTGTGAGCCACTGAGCCCGGCCTGTTGGTGGTTTTAAAGTGTTTACCATATCTCATGTCATGTGTCACCAGGTGGTACCCCAAGGGACTTCAGAGTTATAAAACTCTAGGTTTGCATCCAACTCAGCTACCTACTGAAGATCTTGGGCAACTTTCTTAATCTTTCTTACCCTCCATTTTCTCATCAGTACAATGTGAATAATAAGACTATCTACTCCGTAAGGTGTAGATAAGTCATGCGGGTGAAGGCCTCGCATGGTGCCCAGCTGTGGTGAAACCCCCACCTTTAGGCTGCCCCCAGGGTGAGGCCTCCAAATCTTATTTATGTGTTTGGTCTGAGTTCATATCTGCTTGGTGTAGTGGGTCAGTTAGATGTTCTCTTTTTTTTGCCTTTTGGCATTACCCTATTTGGACTTTGAAACCCGGTTTCTCATAGGAGTGAGTTGAGTGTCCATTCAAACTAGATGGGGCACTTTCCACAATATTCCTGGCTTTTAAACCAAGATCAGACAAGGGCAATTGTCTGCAACAAAGATCCTACAGCTGTTCTAGGGGATCTCAAAAAACCCAAGTGAGGAAAACCAGCTAGTTAATTTAATGGTTATTTGGTTTCATATAGAAAAAAGAATACTTGTTGAACTTATTCTCTTTTGAGCTTGCTATGTTGATGTTTCTGTTTCAGTTTTTTCATCAATGGCCATATGAGTTTCCCATCTCTTCACTGGGCCACTCCACCCCCAAACAATATTAATTTAGTCAAAATAGTTTTTCAGGGCAGTGTAGCAAGGGGTGACAACAGAAATGGCCTAAGGTAGCAGAATAAAAAAAAGAGTGTCCATTGCAGCAGCAGTTTTGCTTAATTAAAAGTGCCAGGGTTTTGGACAAAGGCCTTTGGCCACTCCTGCATGGGACCCATGATAAGGCCAGCGAAAGATCTGGCCAAGAAGGATCAAGACATGACCCTAGAAGGGGGCCCCTAGGACTCCCGGCCTTCTCGAGTGCAGACAAAATGCACTGCGCTGGCATGTGGGCCCAGCTCCCGGACCCCAGGGAGAGCCACTCACCATTGTGGGTGATCAGCCTGTACTGCCTGGCCAGGCACAGCTCCTCCTGCCGCTGCCTCACAGTCCTCTGCACGTCTGGGGGCAGGCCGTTGGGGTCGCGGGCAAACACGAAGGAGTAGCTGTCGGCGCAGGTGCCGTCGAGGTTCAGGAGGCGGCAGGAGTACTGCACGGCGTACGTGTCGTAGTCCGTGTCGACGATCCAGTGGTCATCGTCTGCAAGCCAGGGAGCCACGGGCCCGTCAGTGCCACTCCCGCAG